ACACACACGTACACACACACACACACACACACGTTTTCACTATCGCAGACAGGGCCGGTATCTGCAAAACTTGTGAGTTGATTTTTCCTGAGGACAGACAGACGCGCGCATGCTATGCGGTGCAGGCCTAAAAACGTGAGGGCTGGTAGAGGCGGACAGGCTGCCGACAAAAATGTGCGCCAATCATTCGAAATTCAAATGATCCAGTTATCTATTCACAAGACAGACAAAGACACGCAACAGACACACACACAACACACCCACACTCACACGCGCACGCGCAGAGACGCAGGAAGGCACGCAACACACCCACGCGTACAGACGTGCACGTGCGCACAAACTCGCGCCCTCACAAACAACACAACACCGCTACTTTTTCTTTTCACGTTGTTGGGGGCGGGGTGGAGTGCTGTGTACGTTTGTTTGTACATGGCGGGAAAGGAACGTCAATCGAACACAAGTTCTGCTACGAAAGTGACATCATGCCAGATTCCCGAAACGAACGCCAGTTCTTCCGCTGGTCTTCAACGGAGTGAGCGCCGCCGGCCGGTCGATGTTCCCTTCGGCTGGCGAATGAGGGCATACTCGGGATTTAAGCACCTTTGAAGGTCAGGTACATTGGCCGGGCACCCAATTGACGGACTCTACATGTCGGAATCGCTAGATCTCACCCCGACACCTAGAGTTATCTTTTCTGGTTCTCTCCGGGGCCAAGGTCCCACTTGCGCAGATTAGGAGATTTCGGCCGTTGATCTCTGTTATGTACGGTCAGTATCTCTTAATTCGTGCTAGTGGGACCTAGCCCCAGGAGCACGGCGCCACTAGCAAAAGAGTAAGGTTGCCCAGGCCTGATCCAGATAAAATGGAAAATGCACAGACCATAGATGATGCCAGATTACTCAGAAGAGAGTCATAGAGTTGGGCCGCAGGCCCACACACCGCGGGAAAATCGAGGGTGGGTGGGGCCGCTTCGCCAAAATAGGTGACGAAAACAACCTGTCCTCCAAGTGTCTGGCTGACTGGCTTGATGTGACGTGCAGATTTGCATATGCGATGGGCGCGGCAGCGGGTGGAAGGACTCCAGAAAACGCGCAGCGCGAGTTGACATAGTCTGCTGCGACCGGTCCGGCGCCAGTTACATATACTCTTGCGGCGCCTGGAGGCAGCGGAGGACGGCCCGTTGAGGGACTGCTTCCTGCCGGGTGAGTCCCACTGGTCCTCCTGTAATAGTCGCAGATCTTGAGTGCGCAGATGCTCCCGCCGTAGATCTTAGAAACTGAAAATACTAGTAGGATCAAAGATATCTCCAGCCGTAGATGATGATAATCAAAAGACAGATAACCGAGAAAGGAAAAACAGTCCTGCAATCGTAGGGTTTGAGGCCGAAGAAGTTGAAACCAATCGCGGAACCCGTTCTTGGTTGGTTGCAAACTGTGTCCCACAAACACCTATGGGAGATCTGCGGGACATCGTCCGACCACTGATGCAGGAGAATCCGATGGCAGAGAAATTGCGATGGATTTATATTCTGAAGTGGTGTTTTTTTTCTTGTTTTTGTGCTTTTTTTTTTTTTTTTTTTTTTTCAGTTCCCAAGAATAGGAGGCGGGAAAAGAAAATAGAAAGACGGAGCGCACGGTAGGCGCACGAGAGGAATGCGGCGGTTGGCGCTAAGCGTTCTGCCCCTGTGTTATCGGGCCGCAAGGCCCTAGGGGCAACCGATGCACTACCACCGAGATAGCGCACCGGTACTCGCGCTACTTCCCCCAATTGGGTGAGAAGCAGCGATGGTTGGCATGCCCACCATGTTTCAGCTGAACGACGGGTGATCCCTCTCGTGCGCCATGAGAAGTACAAGAAGTACGGGAAGTAGTAAGAGTTGTGAGACATTGGAGGAACTGAGAAGATAGTGGAAGGAGGAGAAAACGGAGACGCACGCCCAAAAGACAGCAAGGGTTACTTAGTGAGGGAGAGCTTCTAGGCGGGAAAATAAAATAGAAAGACGGAGCGCACGGTAGGCGCACGAGAGGAATGCGGCGGTTGGCGCTAAGTGTTCTGCCCCTGTGTTATCGGGCCGCAAGGCCCTAGGGTCAACCGATGCACTACCACCAAGATAGCACACCGGTACTCGCGCTACTTCCCCCAATTGGGTGAGAAGCAGCAATGGTTGGCATGCTCACCATGTTTCAGTTGAACGACGGGTGATCCCTCTCGTGCGCCACGAGAGGTACGAGAAGTACGGGAAGTAGTAAGAGTTATGAGACATTGGAGGAACTGAGAAGATAGTGGAAGGAGGAGAAAACGGAAACGCATGCCCAAAAGACAGCAAGGGTTACTTAGTGAGGGAGAGCTTCCAAACGCCAGCGAAACCAATGAACGAAGGAGAAGAACGACCGAATTTTCGAGAGGGGGCCAGATCCCCCCCTCCGGCGCCGGCAGAACGACAACAAAGCTATTGGGAAGATGAGGACCGAATCAGAGCACTCCTGACGATGTGCTTAGATGACGGAGTGTACCCCACATACTTGGATCCTGGGGAGATGACGGTGCAAGGGCGTGAAGCGAGTTTCACGTTGAACACATTGCTCGATGAAATGAAGGTTAAATGGTTGAAGGAACGCACCGTCTCCGTGATCTTCAAAGAAAACACAAGATTTCTCCCAAAAAAGATCAAGAACGACACTATCCGAGCTTACGAAGACGGCTGGATCCTCGGAAGTAACACGTTCCCAACAAAGGTTCGAAGAGGTAGAGTCAAAGTGAAAGGTCCGAATGCAGTCTCGTATGTGGCAAAGTCAAGAGAGGTGGCCACATATATGATAGACGAAGGAGGCGCGGAGATAACGTTGAGGAACCAGACGTACAAGATTGTCTTGAAGCCTTGGATGACCCGGGCGGAGTTCAGAGACCTCGGGAGGTCGAAAGACGAAATAACTTTATGGGTTGTAGCGGTGCAGATTCCTCTTGACGATAGGCCATTTATCTAGTATGCACAAGTGGAGAAAGCGATCGACACTATTATGCATGCTCATCCACCAGACGCAGATCTAGCAAGGCCGGCGTTAGTAAACGCAAGGTTTAACATTTTTTTTTTTTTTTTTTTTTTTTTTTTCTAATGATCAGAGTCCAGTATTTAGTTATTGGAAGTACACATCGTCCTGAGTTGCTTGCCTGCTGACAGTCAGCCCGAATCACGGGTTGCCACAGAGGGAGGAAAAGATAGTTGAACTGTTTGAACTACTCCTGTTGTCTCCGTCTGTGGGCCTGTTTCTGTCTACCATGCATAACTTCAATATCCGGACGCAAGAGGCAATATGAAGGATAAACTCTGGATCCATATATCGACCGACGACCGCTTGGAAGTGAGATTAGCTTGTTCAATCACGCTCAAATGTCGAAGATGTAGGCAATTTTTTTCACGAGGAAGCAGATTGCAGACGAGGGACCAGGAACGCAGAAGGAAGAGGAGGAGAGAATATCTTCCAGGCAGATCCAGCCGCCTCGATGACGAACCGAAATTCACGTGGAGGAAGAGCACAAAAACGGCAACCTTACCAAGGAACTCTCTCACCAAGGCCATCGATAATTCTCCCAACAGGGAATGGTGGTATACAGGGATTCTGAAATGCGGCCTTCAATCCAACATACTCACTGGGCGGAGCGGCCTTCGGAGCAGGCACGATGCCGACGTATCACCAAGCGACATTCCCTTATTATGAGATGTCGTTTCAAAGAGGAAATCACCCCTTAGGTAGGGGATGGGGTAACCTCCATTTTGCAGGCGGCATAGGGCAAGTTGGAGGTGGGATGGCAGGAGGAGCAGGGTCTGGCCCTTACGGGCACTCGGCCTTCCAGGCGTTTGCGTGGGGGAACAACATGGGAGGAGGATTGAACGGTGGACAGACAATTCATGGAGACACAGAAGGACAGGAACCACACGAAGCAACACCGACACCTTCAAGGGAGGGAACAAGCGGACAAGCAAGAAGCCGGCCGACAGGGAAACAACTCCGCCTGAGTATGAGCTCGGTTAAAGGAGTTTATGCAGAAGCCTCCCAAGAGTCATCGGCACACTCACCGAATCAAGATACTATGGTGACACCTGGAGTCGAGACAACAAGAAGTAGAAGACTAACGACACTGGCACGAGGACAAGGTTCGGGAGTGGAAAAAATTTTGATCCCACTTCTGTGCACTGCGGTAAAAAACGGGTATTGGGTGATCGCCTAGCAGACAGGTAATGGCCCTCTCACCCTCTTTTCCCAGCCAGTCACAAATGTCCACCTCCATAAGTTATCCTCAAGCTGTCAAGATGTTGTACCTTGAGTATTTCCCTACTAGAGTTATCCCAGATGTCTCAACGACTTTAATTATTGCAAACGTGTCCCAGGATAAGGTCAAGTTTTACGTGTCGCTGATTGATGCAAGGATCACTGAAACTAACCTAGGTGAACTGCAATAGGAGAGATCGGAACAGTGGGCGGAGAAGCTGAGGATCAAAAGTTCAACCGTCTATAACAGAATGACAAAGGATTCATTCCAGAAAATGTTACCCCCGAGGCAAACACAAATGATGAAGGAGTTGGTACATCCGTTTTGCGATTCAGAGCCCACAGCTACACGGCCCAATGACTTGTGTCAGTATGCAGCATGCTAC